CAGAATCAATATTCGTTGCCTTTGGTTTACGACCTTGGGATTCCCATAAAAAATTTCAAAGAGTCCGTATCTGACTATGAGGGTTCCATTTTCAACCCAATTATCTTATGGCTCACTTTAATGATCAAAATCGCACAACCCCCCGGGACCCAAAAGAAGTAGGGGCTTGTATTTGTTTTTATTTCTATCATTGCTAGTAATACAACCTGTAATTCAGCCCATTGAACCAACTTGTTCTGATCTGCTTTCATGAGAGTTTTACCACCTACTGGACACAGGAAAGCTGCTTTCCATCTGAGCCATGGTGTTTTTTTTTTTCTTTTCTTTTTTTTTTTTTTTTTTTTTTTTGACAGGCACAGTGGACAGTGAGAGAGAGATACAGAGAGAAAGGTCTTCTTTTGCTGTTGGTTCACCCTCCAATGGCCGCCGCGGCCAGCGCGCTGCAGACGGCACACCGTGCTGATCCAATGGCAGGAGCCAGGTACTTCTCCTGGTCTCCCATGGGGTGCAGGGCCCAAGGACTTGGGCCATCCTCCACTGCACTCCCTGGTCACAGCAGAGAGCTGGCCTGGAAGAGGGGCAACCGGGACAGAATCCGGCGCTCTGACTGGGACTAGAACCCGGTGTGTCGGCGCCGCAAGGCGGAGGATTAGCCTATTGAGCCTCGGCGCCGGCCCGCCATGGCTCTTTATATAGGAATTGTTATCAGTGAACCAGGCCAATTACCTGACATCCTTGAGTAATTGGTTAAAATGAGGAGCCCAGTTCAGCAACAGCAGTAGGTATGGCCTGGCTTAGGCAAATGTAAAGGCTTTCATTTCCAACTATGAGTGGCTGAAGGGTAGGTGGATATATTATTCTTTTTCTTGTTTTACCTAGGAGGGGAGAAATTTCCATTCAGATATGATACCAATTATACATATAGTTAATGAGATGCCTCTATAATGTGCATTTTTAAAATCATACAGTCTAAATTTTAACCATATTTTAATTTTTACTACTCTTATGGTAACATCCTATAGCTCTCCAGTTAATTCCGCCACCCTAAAGTGCTCATTAGCAAGCCTAATATTGCAATTAGCAAACCTAATATTGTACATTACACTCATGTATTCAATAGAACCACAAGTTTATTCTTTATCTCCAGGCCATTTCATCCAGTCTTGGATGAACTATCCTTCAGACAAACATTCTTGAATTAAGGGTGAAAATTCTATTAACTTCCCATTAATAATTTTCTCAGGTATGGGTTGATAGGAAATATTCTAAAGGATTCAAAAATGTGTAATGGGGTACAGTCAGGACTTGATCAAAGAAATGGTATCACTGGGAATGATATAAGATTTACTATAGAAATTTGACTTTACACAATATTTGGAGTTGGTAAGATGTTTATATGTGGCTTTTCTCTCTGTGTCTTGTCAGCATGGCAAGCAGCTAAGCAGTTGAGAAGGAGAGATGTACGTGAAGTGGGGGAGAACAAGGACAAACTAGAACCCATGAGACAAGCTGGAACCTGTCTTTGTCTCTTATCACCTCTAAGCCTCTAATTTCAATTATGCAGGTAATGGGAAAAGAGAAGCTAGCAACTTTCATTACGAAGCTAAACATCCACCTAGCCCAGGCGTCACAGAGAAGCTGAAGGAGGAGATCCAGCAGCATTGCCTGTGGACTCAGCTGGTGTGGACCAGGCTGCTGCCTCGTACCTCCAACGTGAGCCAGCAAGTTGGTGACAGCATGTGGGAGCTGAAACAGTGCTTGGTGCCTTGCACTGACCTTTAAAGTATAAAAAGAGGATGGCAATGGGTGATTTAGGGAAGGGAATTTCTGGGAATCATGATTTCTGCTTAACTAAGTTAGCACAAGACAGATCCACCACAAGGGGTGGATGTTGTGGCACAATGCATTAAGCCACCATTTGGGATCTTAATTTATTTCATATGGAAGGCAGACACAGAGAGAGAGACAGAGAGAGAGAGAAAAAGAGAGAGCGGTATCTTCCATCCACTGGTTTACTTCCCAAATGCCCACAAGATCCATAGCTAGGCTAGGTCAAAGCCAGGTGCCTGAATTCTGTCTGAGTCTCCAGTGTGGTTGGCAGGAACCCTATCATTTGGGCCATCACCGCTGCTTTCTACCACCATTAGCAGGAAGCTAGAGTCAGGAGAGAAAGCTGAGCATCAAACCCAGGCACTTTGATATGGGACACAGGTGTCCCAACAAGTATCTCAAACAATAGGCCTAATGTCTGCTCCTTGACATGATTTTGATAGCTTTGGTAGCCTCATGTTATAATAAAATATATCAGGCCCATCTTGTACATTTCCTGCTCCAAACTTGCAAGAAGTACTAGTTTATTTAGTGGGAAAAGGTTTTCAAAGACATAAGCTGTGTGTTTGGGTACTCACCGCCACTAAGTGGAAATTGTTTTTAAGCCTTTTCAGTGGGCCATATTTATTCATTTATTGGAAAGAGTTAGAAGAGAGAGAGATTTTCTTTCTTTTTTTTTTTTTTTTTTTTTTTTTTACAGGCAGAGTGGACAGTGAGAGAGAGAGAGACAGAAAGAAAGGTCTTCCTTTTGCCGTTGGTTCACCCTCCAATGGCCGCCGCGGCCGGCGCGCTGCGGCCGGCGCACCGCGCTGATCCAATGGCAGGAGCCAGGAGCCAGGTGCTTTTCCTGGTCTCCCATGGGGTGCAGGGCCCAAGCACCTGGGCCATCCTCCACTGCACTCCCTGGCCACAGCAGAGGGCTGGCCTGGAAGAGGGGCAACCGGGACAGAATCCGGCGCCCCGACCGGGACTAGAACCCGGTGTGCCGGCGCCGCTAGGCGGAGGATTAGCCTAGTGAGCCGCGGCGCCGGCCGAGAGAGAGATTTTCTATCTGCCTGTTCAACCCCCAAATGGCCGTAATAGCCAGGGCTAGGCTAGGCTAAAGCCAGGAGCCAGGAGCTCCATCTGGATTTCCCACATGGGTACAGGGACTAAAGTACTTGGGCTATCTTCTGCTGCTTTCCCAGACACAGTAGCAGAGAATTGGATAAAAAATGAAGCAGCTGGGACTTGAACTGCTGCCCAGATGGGATGCCAGTGCTGTAGACAGCAGTGTAATCTGCTGCACCACAGCACTGGCCTCCTCACATGTATTTTTAGAATGTTTTGTTTATTTTAATCTACTTGAAAGGGAGAGCAATGGTGGCGGGGAGAGAGAGAGAGAGAAGTATCTCTCATCTGCTGGTTCACTCTCCAAATGCCTGCAAGAGCAGGGCCTGTTCCAGGCCAAAACCAGGATGCCAGAACTCAATATGGTGCTTCCATAGGGGTGGCAGGGGCCCAAACTCTTGAACCGTTGGATTGGAAACAGTACAGCCAGAACTCAAATTGGCATCCCAATATAGGAAGCAGGTGTTCCAAGCAGTAGCTTAACCTTCTGCCTGCCTCAGTCCAGATATTTTTTCAATATGCAATGAAGGAATCTGAGCATTAAGATTTAGTCTTAATAAAAGCACTAGAAATTGGGGCCAGTGCTATGGCATAGCGGTAAAGCTGCCGCCTGCAGTGCTGGCATCCCATATGGGCACCGGTTCGAGTACTGGCTGCTGCTCCACTTCCGATCCAGCTCTCTGTCTTAGCCTAGGAAAGCAGTAGAAGATGGCCAAAGTCCTTGGTCCCCTGTACCCGTGTGGGAGGCCTGGAAGAAGCTCCTGGCTCCAGATGGGTGCAGCTCTGGCCATTGCAGCCAGTTGGGGAGTGAAACAGCAGATGGAAGACCTCTCTCTCTCTCTCTCTGCCTCTCCTTCTCTATGTGTGTAACTCTGACTTTCAAATAAATAAATAAATAAATAAATAAATAAATCTTTAAAAAAATTTAAAAGCAGTAGAAATTAAGAGATATGGCTGTAAGTGGCAAAAAATTGAACATGTTATCTTGCCACCCTGTGTGGTCACTTTATGTATCTGTCCCTTTAAAGGTGCATGAAGTTTCAACAACATCATCATTAACATCTCAGATTTATCTGGATTTTAGGAATGAATTGGAAACAATGAAATTTCTTAGCGGACTTTTTAAATATTTTAAACCACTTAGAAAAAACTTCAGGGCTAGCAATTTTTCTATTAAGATATTATGATGCTGTTAGGGAAACAAGTTGTCCTATTGTTAAGCCTCAGGCCACCTGTTAATCTCAAACTAGCTAACTGTGTTCTGCTTTTCTTTTTTTTTTTTTTTTTTTTTTTTTGACAGGCAGAGTGGACAGTGAGAGAGAGAGACAGAGAGAGAAAGGTCTTCCTTTGCCGTTGGTTCACCCTCCAATGGCCGCCGCTGCAGCCGGCGCACCGCGCTGATCCTGGCAGGAGCCAGGAGCCAGGTGCTTTTCCTGGTCTCCCATGGGGTGCAGGGCCCAAGCACCTGGGCCATCCTCCACTGCACTCCCTGGCCATAGCAGAGAGCTGGCCTGGAAGAGGGGCAACCGGGACAGAATCCGGCGCCCCAACCGGGACTAGAACCCGGTGTGCCGGCGCCGCAAGGTGGAGGATTAGCCTATTGAGCCACGGCGCCGGCTTGCTTTTCTTTTTTGCATTCCCCAGAGAATCATTCATCCCTAGTTTCCTCTTCAAAGGTATCCCTCCAGGTATTGAAGGAGAAAGAGAACCAAAGAGTCTTTGGGAAATATTTTATATCTTGGCCTAGGTGGTAGATAAATTAGTGTACACATATGTAAAAATTCAAGTTGTATACTAAGATTTTTTAATACAGTTTCCTGATTGTCTCAGCACCAACCCTCTACACATTGATTTGCTTAAAGAATACACTAAGTTTAATTGAACTCAACCATGACTGCAGCAGGATTTGACCTTTTAAAGAGCTCAACAAGTATTTGTTATCATTGCTGGTGATGACTATTTATAGACTGAACTTTCTCCAAGGTCCAAAACACATTTTTCCTAGAAATCAGATACATGATTATCTAAAACTACATTTAGTCGAAATGAGCACTTTTTCATTTTCTCCTTAAGACTTAAAATATTTGACAGAATTTTTTAGGCTATCACATCCTAGTATTTCTGTCAAGCTTCAAAATGAGTATTAGGGTGTGGAATGTTCCAGATGTGTTTTCTTTCTACGATGAGTCTGATTCACAATTTTGGTATTATCACCAAAATACTGGTTACAGACAATTGTGCTATAAAGCCTCTTATTTCCTTTCCATCACTTAAGAAAATAAAAGATTTATTTATTTGAAGGGTAGAATTACAGAGACAGAGATCTTCCATCTGCTGGCTCACCCCTAAAATGGTTGCAATGGCCAGGGCTGGTTCAGGCTGGAACCAGGAGCCAGGAACGCCATCTGGGCCTCCCATGTGGGTGGCAGGGGCCCAAGTACTTGGGCCATCTTCCACTGCTTTCCTAGGTGAATTAGAAAGGAGCAGGATTGGAAATGGAGCAGCAAACTGCTCTCAAATGGGCTGCCAGTGTCCCAGGCAGCAGCCTAATCCACTGTGCTGGCCTCCTTCCATTGCTTTAAGTGAGCTCGCTCGTGCCTCCTTCTCCAAGACTTTGCCCACACATATTTGCCCCTATCCCTGAGCCCCTAGCCAATAGGACCGGAAGTGGACTAAACTGGGCCAATTGGCTACTCTCTCTCTCCCCCTAATCTGTAATCGGGATTTCAGAAATGCAAAAAGTCTCTTTTGATGAAGTAGAGATCATACACAGCCAGCATGGATATGCATGCGTATTCACACACAAGTATGATGATAGGGAGGGCAGTTGTCTTGGGCCCTGCTATACCACGTAGGATCAGTTGGCTGTTGGGAAACTTACCATTCCACCAACACTGAGAATGCATACTATAAACTGCCACCTGGGACACCTGCATCCCATAGCTGAATTCCTGGGATCAAGTCCTGCCTCTGCCTCTGCCCCATGTTCCTGCTAATGCACCTGGGAGGCGGTGTTTGATTGTTCAAGTACTGAGGCCCTGCCACCCAAGTGGGAGACCTGGATGGAGCTCCTGGCTCCTGGCTTCTGCTTGGCCTAACCCCAGCTGGTGTGGGCATCTGGGGGAGTGAATCAGTAGATGGAAGATCTTGATCTTTCTCTCTCTTTCAAATAAAGAAACACTAAAAAAAGAAGAGGAAAAGATACCAGGAACTGGAAACCTGAAACTCAATCCAGGTCTCATGTGGATGGCAGGGACCTAATTACTTCAGGCTATCACCCGCTGCCTCCCAGGGTCTGCATTTGCAGGAAGCTATAGCTGGGACTTTGTGGGGAGCAACTGGGAGCAACTCGGACTAGACTAAGTTACTGGAATTAAGACTTATTCTATGCATCTGCTCTCCCACAATATGGCACTGGGAGAGGAGGAAACAGCTTCTACACAGCTGCCTCCAGTTCAACCAATAAACTGTAGGATCTGCTCCTGATTGGAGGAGAGCAGTGTACTCGGCGTGTGGGTAGCAGAGTTGGGATTGGTGGAAGAGGACTATAAAGGAGGAGAGAGACAACATGCACCAGGAACATCTGAAGGGATACCTGAGCAGCCCCCGAGAGAGCCGGCTGGTGGTGTGCAGCTCCCCCGCGGAAGTGGGGAAAGTGGCTAGGGGGAACCACCCTTCCACGGAGGTGGAAGGGACGGTAGCCAACCCAGGAAGAACCAGCAGCAAACCCGGGGAGGGCCGAGCAGACAAAAGAACAGCGCAGGGTCCTGTGTTGTTCCTCCACGAAGAGGGGGAGCGACAGGACTTGAACTTGGGTATTCTGATATGGGATGCAGGCATCTAACTGCTGGGCCAAATGCCTGCTCCTGTGTTATTTTTAAAATTACTTGACATGTAGAAAAACACACACATTGTAGTTTTTTCACTGTTAGAATTTTGAAAGGTTGAATTCAAAGATATGACAAGTAACCAGTAAGATGCTATACCACTGGTGCCGTGGCTCAATAGGCTAATCCTCCGCCTTGCAGCGCCAGCACACTGGGTTCTAGTCCCAGTCGGGGCGCCGGATTCTGTCCCGGTTGCCCCTCTTCCAGGCCAGCTCTCTGCTGTGGCCCAGGAGTGCAGTGGAGGATGGCCCAAGTGCACCCACATGGGAGACCAGGAGAAGCACCTGGCTTCTTGCTTTGGATCAGCGCGATGCGGCCATTGGAGGGTGAACCAACGGCAAAAAGGAAGACCTTTCTTTCTGTCTCTCTCTGTCTACTCTGCCTGTCAAAAGAAAAAAAAAAGATGCTATACCACAGTATCTGTGGGTCAGAGCTAGTCCTTTCTAACTTCCTTGAGATTGCAATCTCAAGGGATGCAGTAATCCAAATGCTTTATTAGGATTGCAGGATCAGTCAAGGCGGTTTACTCACATGGCTGGCAAGTTGAAGCTGTCTGTTGGTGGAGACTCATGTTCCTCTACACATAGACCACTTCATAGGGCTGTTTGAGTGTAGTGGCATGGCAACTGGCTTCTCCCAGGGCAATAATCCAAGAGAATGAGGTGGAATCCAGTAACCAGTCCCTTTATGACCTATCCAAGGAGTCACACAGCTTCTGCTGTATTCTGTTGGTCAAACATAGGAGCCCTGATTCAAAGGCCTTATAAAGACTAAACTTTCAGAGGTGAGAGTCACTGGAGGACATCTGGAGGCTAGCTACCAAGCATCCTAACATCTTGATTTCCTGTCATTTACTTTATAAAGCCAGTACTGAGATACAACAACCATACAATTCTAGCTTTGCATCATACTGTTTTCTCAAACACAGCTGTGTTCTCAAACACATTTGTGCACATGGGTGCACCCAAGTGCACAAGATTTTGTTTAGAGTTCCATAAACTGAAGCTCCTCTGCTACAGGTCAGCTCACAAACTTCATCAGGGCACCTGATTCCACCTCAAATTCTCTGAATTTGAGTTGAAGACTGAGATTAAGGGCCCAAAAGCTTGCTTTGTGCTTACTTATAATCACTGTAAATTAACTAGGAAATACTTTGTTTCACAAGAGACCTTTAATTTTCTAGAAACTTTTACCTATGTTCAGTATCCACTTTAACTTGAAAAAAATTCTTGCAGATTATACTAATTTGCTAAAGGTGACTCAGCTTTCTAAATAGCAATTAAGCAAACAGCTGAGTTGGCAGTTGGGTAGAAGATGAAAAGACCATCAAGGTAAGGAAGATGATTTCTTTTTTTGAGGGGAGGTTATAATGTTAAATTTATCAAGAATGATCTTTTTATTCTGGTTATATGAAAGTATGTTCTTGGCCGGCACTGCAGCTCACTTGGCTAATCCTCTGCCTGTGGCGGCAGTGCCCTGGGTTCTAGTCCCGGTTGGGGCGCCGGTTCTGTCCTGGTTGCTCCTCTTCCAGTCCAGCTCTCTGCTGTGGCCAGGGAGTGCAGTGGAGGATGGCCCAAGTCCTTGGGCCCTGCACCCCATGGGAGACCAGGAGGAAGCACCTGGCTCCTGGCTTTGGATCGACGCAGTGTGCCCGCCAGCCATAGTGGCCATTTGGGGGGTGAACCAACAGAAGACTTTTCTAACTCTGCCTGTCCAAAAAAAAAAAAAAAAAAAAAAAAAAAAAAAAAAAAAAAAAAAAGTGCTTAATCTTTTTTTCCCCCAAAGAAACCTTTTATTTAAGGAATAAAAATTTCATGAGCACAACTTTAGGAATATAGTGATTCTTCTCACTATACCTGCACGCCCGTCCACACACCCACACCCCTCCCATTCCCAGTCCCATTCTCCATTAAGATTCATTTTCAATTAACTTTATATGCAGATCAACAATATACAAAGTAAAGCTTTCAATAATTTGCACACACACACACAAATTGAGAACAAGTTTTACAGTTAATTCTCATAGTACAACTCCTTGGTGACAGAGGTCCTGCAAGGGAAGTGCACAGTGCCTCCTGTTGTTAATTAAACAATTAACACTCTTATGTATGAGGTCAGTGATCACCCAAGGCTCTTGACATGAGCTACTGAGGCTATGGAAGTCTTCTGAGTCCACAAGGGAGATGGCTTCTTTTTTAAGTTTTTTTTTTTTTTATTTAGCAGGCAGAATTGGATAGAGAGCGAGAGCGAGCGAGCGAGCAAGCAAGAAAGGTCTTCTTTCCGTTGGTTCACCCCCAAATGGCCGCCACGGCCAGCGCGCTGCGCCAATCCAAAGCCAGGAGCCAGGTGCTTCTTCCTGGTCTCCCATGCGGGTGCAGGGCCCAAGGACTTGGGCCATCCTCCACTGCCTTCCTGGGTCACAGCAGAGAGCTGGACTGGAAGAGGGGCAACAGGGACTAGAACCCGGCACCCATATGGGATGCCAGCACCGCAGGTGGAGGATTAACTAAGTGAGCCACAGTGCCAGCCCCCAGGGAGATGGCTTCTTAACAGCTTCCATCTATCCTAGAAGATAGGCAAAGAGGTACCCTAACTGTGGGCAATAAAGTCTCCTCCTTCTTTGCTCCTTTAGGTACCTTATATTGAAGAGTTAAAATTGTATATGTGTGGGTGTAAAAAGTTAAGCTTAAGCTTACAGGTTTAAACCTTCCTGGTGCAGCTGTGAAAATAAAACAGAGTGAAGTAGCACCTTGACAGTAGGGACTCCATTTTGGAGCACTTGAGACTCCATTCTGGGAAAGCACCCCCCCACCGCGAGACTCTGGTCTGAAACTATGATCTCAAATAGTCGGACAATAGCAGTGCACTACATCACCCTTGGCAACGCACAAAAACCCCCTAGCATGATTGCTCAAGCTTAAAAGTAGAAAGGTTGCACCTGGGTTACCTGGGCTAATAATGAAGATGTGATTTGTCTATGTCTTAAGATCATAATTGCTGATTGTAAGATTTTAGCAACCACTTAGCAACCGTGTATTCTCTCCCCCCTCCCGATTTTGTGGTTTTTGCCTTTATAAACCCTATGCTGTAGTTCCTCGCTGCTCCTCTGTCCTTGTATGTTCAGAGGGCCCCAGCATGTTGGATGAATAAATTTAACCCTTTGCTGGTTGCATTAGAGAAAGGTCTCTTGGAGTTGTTCTTCGGGCGGTGGGCTTTTTCGGACCCTAACAATATACCAACAGTCCATAATATTTGCCTGCCCATTACTTTGTTAGGTTGCTAACCCATAATAGTTGTCTTTGCTAAGAATCTGGTGAGCCTTCTTTTCAGGGTCCTTGATGTAACTGGATGGAATCAGCTGAGTCAAAATTGTGACTGGAGCCTGCGCAGAGCACCTGGACTGACTGGAGAGTTACCTTACAGTTCACTATAATGACAGGTGCCACACCTCTGATGACGTTTCAGCAGCCCTCCTCAAAACATGTGATGTCTCTCAGTGTGCTTGCCCAAAGGACTTTCCATATCATGTTCCCTCACTTAGTTTCACCCCCATTTATCCTAACTCCATAAATTCCCAAACTCCTTTCTGAACCGGATCGGGTCTTTCCGATTTCCTTCCTCTCTCCTCACAGGCCTCACAGTAATAAAGCTTTTCCTCATAAAGCGCATCTGGTGTTTGTCTAACAGGAGTACATACAGGTGGGGCAGGCCTGTTGTTCAGTAACAGCACCTCGTTGAAATCTTGGGGACTTAGGCTTTCATTTTACCACTGCTCTTATTTTTTTAATTTGACAGGCAGAGTTAGACAGAGAGAGAGAGACAGAGAGAGAGAGACCAAAAGGTCTTCCTTTTCTGTTGGTTCACCCCCCAAATGGCCGCTATGGCCGGTGCTGCGCTGCTCCGAAGTCAGGAGCCAGGTGCTTCCTCCTGGTCTCCCATGGGGTGCAGGGCCCAAGCACTTGGGCCATCCTCCACTGCACTCCCTGGCCACAGCAGAGAGCTGGCCTGGAAGAGGAGCAACCAGGACAGAATCCAGCGCCCATATGGGATGCCGGCGCCGCAGGCGGAGGATTAACCAAGTGAGCCAGGGCACTGTCTGTCCACTCACGGACCTAAGAACACAATAGAGTAGCCCTACCTTTCGCCAAGTTACGAAATTCCCCGGACCCCAAAGGTTTAGCGAGGACACCAGCAGGCTACAATTGGAGTACAAACCTGGTCTAACAAGAAGCAGGATCCTCCACTCAGGCCCTCAAGACCCACGCAACAAAAGCACGGGCAGGCTTCTTACCAACAGCGCTGCCTCCCCTTCCCCTCCCTCTCCTGGCCAGCAGGTCATCTTCGGTCACATATCCCCTTTCATGTTCCTGTTGAACTTAATATTGGTCAGTTTTCTGGTGCAAAACAGCGACAAAAACAATAGGGAAAGCAACGAGGGGTGAGAGGAGGGATGTCATTAACTGCCACATCTGACAGTTTTGTGATCAAAGACACAAGCCCTACAGGTGCGCTCGGTCTCAGCGGGCGTCAGTATGTGTCCACCTCCACCCCCACCCCGGTATTCTAGAGGCAAAGTCATCAGTTCAGCCCAAAGGAGACTACGTGAGAGGGCACTGCCCAGCAAAGACAAAACAAAGGCCACTGCGGGCCAGCTCAGCAGACAGAGGCCGGCGCCCTGCTTCCTTCACAGTCCTCGGCCCCACCCTTCCCAACCGGAACTACATCCCCCACCCTCCGTGCCCCCACGCACAGCGTGACGTGTGCACCCGTAGCGGCTCGCGCCCAGCCCGCCTTCCCCGGCACACAGGGCAGGCGCAGGGCGTGCGCATGCTCGGCTGCCGCGTCCGCTGGGGGCTCGAGCCGCTGCTATCTGTTGCGCCGCCGCCCGCGGGAGCCGGCAGATCCGGGTCTCGTGGCTCTGAGTGACGCGGTCAATCGAATCCAAACACGGGAGGGGGAGTCAGCCGGCGGCCCGGAGCAGCAGCGGCAGCGGCGTCCGGAGCAGCCGCAGCGTTCCGGAAGCTCCAGGCGGTCCTTCTGCCGAGACCTGGTCCCGGCTCCCACCCTCCCCGCCCCATCGGTTGTTGTCTGGGCGGGTGAGTGTCTCCCCCTCTCCCACGGCCGCTTGCCGGCCCCCCTTCTTTCCCCTCACCCCAGTTTCTTCTGGGGGCTCCTCAGGCTCTCGGGGACTGCGGCGGGGACTCGGCGCTTCCCGGGCCGGACTGGCGATTCTGCAGCGGGAGAACCCCGCCGGCGCCGCCGGGCGTCCGTGCCCCGGCCGAGGGGAGCGAGGCGGGGAGCCCGTAGTTGGGGTCTCCCTGCAGGAAGCCAGAGTCGGGGCTTGGCAGCAGAGTGGACGGTAGCCACGGGTGGTTTTATTTTTGGGGGCCAGGTCGTCAACACGGGCGGAGGCGGACCCGTGGAGTTAAAAAGAAGTGTGTGTGTGTGTGTGTGTGTGTGTGTGTGTTAGTTAGCCGGAAGGAGCAATTCGACAACCCCGAAATCCACACTGGATCCTTTACCCTGGTCCCTCAGCCCTCTCTGGGCACGATGAAGTCACTCAGAGGCGTCCTTTGTTGTGACTGCCGAGACGGGAGAGCTGCCATCCTGAAAGCGAGAGTCGCGAATCGAAAGGGTTCCCCTTTTTCTCTGTGCGTTGGGTGAGCGGGACCCGAGCTGACGGCGCAGCAGACACCTCGATAGGAACGCAGACCGTCTGCAGGCAGCAGCTGTGGGCGTCCCGAAGTTTCCCAGAGTGGCTGTTTTCATACGTGAGGGTTTTTTCGCCCAGGCGGTATTTGTAGCTGTAGGCAGTCGGGATGTTTTCAGTCGCCGGAGTTGGCAGCACCAGGAATGTGGCCTGGATACTAGAACGCGTAATTTTTCTATCAAGAGAAGCTCCACGCAGGTAATACTCGGCGTTTGTGGAAGAGAGCTTGCAGTCTGGGTGTTTCATTGTCGGAAACTGCGCGGGCAGCGGTACGGACGATCACTCGGCAAAGCCTTGCAGGTGTTTTGAGTCCTGAGCCCCTTAGGACGGTGCAGGGGGCTGCGTTCCCTCCCTGCCGCTTTGAGGTGTCTGCTCGCGTGAATTCCTTTAGAGCTGGCTCTGAGCCTGCCGTCCTCACCCAGCGCTATGGAGACCGAAAACCAAGCCTTTTTGCCCTAACTTGGTTTTAAAAAACAGCCCCCCCACCCCACCCCGTCCCCGCCGCCGCGGCCACCGCCACCACACGGTCGTGGACGTGTTCCTGTGGTGTACAGCGAGCGAGGAGGAAGGACAGAAGTGTGTGCTGATTGCCCCTTAGTCAACCCAGAAGGAATTCTTAATGAATTTCAATTACTTCTTTGAAGGGTATGTCCTTGTGGTATAACTTGGCCCTTTTAACTTTTTTCCTACTGTGCCTGCCATTGAGATCCTTTTCCCTTACTACCACAGCTGTAATCCCGATTTAGATAAATATTTTCTTGAAGTTCCTCTTTTTCAGTTGTTTCCCTTTTCTGTTACCCTATAACTGAATATTTTTGCTTATAGGAATGCTTAGTGGTAATAGGAGAAAATGTTGCTAAAAGCAGATAGACAAAAAGGCAGAAAATCATCAATAATGCTGCCACTCATACATCACCAAAGTGTTTGCAGTGGTTTCTATCCTTGCAGATTTATTTTTTGTGTTTATGTATGTTAGAAAATCCTGACACCATACCACATGAGCTTTTGTACAACCTGCTTTTTCACACACTGGTATTTCTTTTTTAAGAAAATTTAAATTTTACAAGTGAAAGACTTTTGGACCTTAACTTTTACGGAATATTCACAGTGTTGGGGAAATTGTAGTTCTTAAAATTATGGTGTTAAAAGCGTTCCTTCCAAATAGCTATGATGATAAATTCGATTTAAGAAATTAATGTGCATCTTTAGGGAAAGTTAGGCTTTGCTTGTTCAGATCCTGGGAGAGCAGGCCTAGCCTGCATTGAGGATCCGGAAGTCTGAAAAGTTCTTGCTGAGTTGGTGGTTTGATTGGAGTACAGGTTTAGTTCTATTCTGTGGTTAGGCCATGCTCCAAATGCTGACCAGCTGTCCAGGTCCCCAGCAATACAGTCCTGGAAGATTGATTTTACATATCCTCATATGTTTGATTAACACTGGATCTTGGGTGTGTGCCCATTTAGTCCACATCTTTACCAGTGGCACTTAAAGGGCCAACTGTGGAAGCAAATGTTGTCATCTTTATCTCAACTCTAAAGGATAAGTACCAAGAAATAGCCTAAATCTAAAATTTCTCAAACCTTTTCAACCTTTGTATCCCTTTCACTTTTCTCTCGAGTAATTGGTCCCCAGTGCTTACTACTCATTATGTGACTTAGTTCTTTTTCTTTGGTTTGCTTTGAGTTACAGCATTTAGTGTGTATTCTAGTCCACTTCTTCCTGTCTCTGTTGCCACCACCTTTGCCGAAATGTCACCACTGTCACCTAATCTGCTGTAACGTTCTGGTCCCCCTGCTTCTACCTGGGCCTTGTATGGTGCATTCCTCTTACCACAGTGTAAAGAGCCTTTACAGTGTGTATCAGATCATCACCCCTTTGTTGAAAGTCTTCCATCTAAGGGCAGAATGAAAGCCAAACTCCTTACCTGGACCTGCCTGATACTGCCTGTCTCTCTTAGCCTTCCTTGTACCCCTCTGCCTAGCTCAGTATTCTGGAATTGGTCACATCTGTTTCTTCCTGTTGTTCAGCCCCAGTGGAATTGTTATCCCTGGAACTTGCTGGCTAGCTTTTACTTGAGGGCCTTTGAACTTCCTCTGTACTGTATGGCTTCAGAGCTCTTCTACCATGTCAGCTGTGGCTTGGTTGCATCATGTCATTTAGGTCTCTCCAGATATTACCTCTTCCAAGAGGTTGCCCTATATCGCCATTCTATTTTTTTTTTTTAAAGATTTATTTTCTTTGAAAAGCAGTTACAGAGGAGAGGGAGAGAGAGAAATCTTCCATCTCACAGAGAGAGGGAAGGGTAGAGAAATCTTCCATCTGCTGGTTCACTCCCTAAATGGCTACAGCTGCTGGCGCTAGGCCAGGCCAAAGCCAGGAACTTCGTCTGGGTCTCCCACTTGAGTGCAGGGGCCCAAGGACTTGAGCCATCTGCTGCTGCTTTCCCAGGCGCAGTAGCAGGGAGCTGGAAGTGGAGCAGGTGTGACTCAAACCGGTACCCATATGGGATGCTGGCATTCCAGGCGGTGGCATAACCTGTTTTGCTACAACACTGGCCCCCATTCTTTTTTTTTTTCCCCACAACATTTATCACTATTTGAAATTCCCCTATTTAATTTTTTTTTTTTTTTTACTTGAAAGGCAGAGAAAGATGGGGAGAGATCTTTCATCTGCTAGTTCACTTTCCAATTACTTAGAACAGCCAGAGCTGGGCCAGGTTGTAGCCTGGAGCCCAGAATCCAAACAGACTCTCCTATGTGGGTGGCAGAGACCCAACTACTTGGGCCATCTGAAGCCTTCCAGGCCGTGCAGGAAGCTGGAATTGGAAACAGAGGCAGGACTTAGACCCATGAACTCTAATATGGGTGCTGGTGTCCCAAGCAGTGTCTTAATAGCTGTGCCAAATGCCTGCCCCTATTTTTAATATTCTGTCTCCTTCACTGGAAATGAAGCTCTTAGAAAATGGGGACTTTGTCTGTCCTTTTAAAGACTGATTTATTTGAAAGGCAGAGTGACACAGATGTCTTCTGTCTGCTGGTTCATACCCCAAATGTCCACAACAGCCAGGGCTAGACCAAGCTAAAGCCAGGGACCCTGAAAACAATCTGGGTCTCCCATGTAGGTGGCAGGGACCCAGGTACTTGGGGTTTCATCCACTGCCTCCCAGGTGTGTTAGCAGGGAGCTGGATTGGAAGCAGAGCAGCTGAGAGTGAAACACTCCAATATGGGATGTGGGCGTCCCAAGTGGAAGCCTAACCTGCTGCGCCACGATGCTAGTCTTTTGTCTTGTTCACTGCATTGTAGGTACTCAGTATTGGTTAAATGAAAAACACTTGGTGAAAATGTATTCCCCTTGAACACATACTCTATTTTAGATCGGTTCATTCTGGGGAAGAGCCCTAATTTGCAGCTTTTTATAGGAGGGTAGTGCCTTAATTCTCTTAAGTAATTCTTCACATTTGGGCCAGAGAACACTCATATTGTACTTAAAACCTATGAAAGTAATCCCTGGGAGAAAGGAGTCCCCCGAATTTGCAGTTTCAACAACTCCCTAAGGTGATTTTAATGCACATTAAAGTTCGAGAATGTCTCGCAGTATTTTAATGGCTCTTCTCAGAGGTGGTTTCTTGTTTTTTACTAGTGATGATAACTGCCATTTTTGGGGAACATGCTTGATGTGGCAGTTACTGTGCTAAAAATCGCTCTTACGTATTTTTCATTTAACTGCAAAGCAACTCAGATACGGGTTTCCCCACTCTGATTTTACAAGTGGAGACACAGTGACAGAATCTTGGATTTGAACCCACGTCGATTGTCGAAACCACTTCCCTGCTGCTTTTATACTACAGCGTTTAGAACTGTATTCAGTACTTTGGTGAAAATGGGCCATGTTTTAGTTAAGGACAAGATAGTGTTTTCTGTCCCGTTTCCAATCCTGTCCTTACTGAAGTCTATTGTTGGTTGCTTTTTGTGTTTTTTTTTTTTGTGTGTGTGTGTGTTTTGCTTTTTTGGCCTGAAGTTGGACAGTTGGTAAGTGACCT